TGTGTTTTATGAAATCCTGGAGAGGTGGTCATTAACTTGCACTAATGTTGTTTTTGCTCTTGTTTTGGTAGAGCTGAGACCAAACTCAAGTCCTTGCATTTTCCAGGCAAATACTCTTCCACTGAACTGAACCCCCAATCCCATGAATTGATCTTGAACTGTGCACTTTCATGCACTTGATACTTGGAGATTTTTTTTTACAATTGGGAGCCATAATGAAAGAGATCTTTGAAGGTGTCATGATAGCTCTGATAATAATTACGCTGTCCAGCCTCTCTTGCTGCTTTTTGTGCCTTTATGACTTTGGATAGAAATTATGAATGTCCCTTCAGTTGGCACACCTAAAAGGAAATACCTGAGTGCTCCTGCTCTCTACTCTGCCCTGGGTCATGCATTGGCATGTAGAAGATAACAGAAATCCCCAAACTTCATTAGAAATCTGACATCTCAATTTTCAATGGGAGAAATTTTTTTTTCTAATTTAAGACTTCACTTTTTAGCAACTCTTAAAAGAACATTTATTTAAACAAAAATAGTAATAATAAAATAATCATGATGCATATTTCCAATGTTCACATTTCTTCTTTCTTTTTTTACATTTTTCACCTTTAATTAGTTGCACACAGGAGATGGAATTTAACAAAGCAGTTTATGGATACAATATGTCTTGTTCAATGTCAACCCTTTCAATATTTTTACCCATCCCTCCTTTACAAACCCCTTCCTTCACTCTTCTTAATTTTGTAGAATATATATTGGATTCTTGACTGCCTTCTTCTTCCTTTTGACTATTTCATCCCACCCTCTGCCCTTTGAAATACCTATACCCTGACGTTTATTTTGTTCAACTTTGTCTTTCTAAGGAATTACCCCATTTGAGTTGTCCTTTGTATCTACTGTATTTCATATATATTATTATTATAATTGTAAAAATACTGTAAAGGAGTTACAGTTACATGGGTAAGGTAATGAGTACATTTCCTATCAAGCATTGTTACCTCTTCCTTCATTTTTCCCCTACCATCCCTTCCCTCCTCACCTCCCCAACTCCTTTCACCCCCTCACCCCGAAGTTCTAAAGTTTGTTTTCAACAAAGTGTCTTGTATATCTCATTGTTACAATGGGTCAGCTTGTATCCTTATTTCAGCATTTTGTTTTTTCCCCTTTCCCTCCCCAAATTAAAAAAAATGTATATACAAGATGCAGGGCACTGGAATCACATACAGTGAAAACAGGGGTTATACCATGGGGGAAGAATATACAAAAGAAACAAAAATATCACATAGTACATTATAAATACATTAAAAAACAACAGCAAGAAAGATAAATCCACTTTTGTCCCTATCTTGGGGTTCATTGTGCTTAGCATAATTTTATATGGTCATATAAAATTATTTCTGCTTGTCCTAGACATATACTAGTTATTGCAAATAAGGGAAATCATGGGACCATGCCCCTCAGTAGACGAATGGATCAAGAAAAAAATATATATATATGTATATATGAATTCTGTGCTTCCATCAGAAAGAATGACAACACCCATCTGTTAAGAAATGGAAAGACTTGGAAAAAATATTAAATGAAGTAAGCCAGGCCCAAAGAAACAAAAGAAACATAGCTTCCACTGTGTTTATTATTGATGAGTAAATAAAAAAGGAAGAGTGTCTGAGAAATAGTATGAACATAGATTTTTGTTTTTATTTTTGTTTTGTTTTTGTTGGTCATGGGGCCTGATCTCTGGGCCTGGGTGCTGTCCCTCAGCTCTTCAGCTTAAGGCTAATGCTCTACCACTTGAGTCATAACACCACTTCTGGCTTTTACTGTTTATGTGGTGCTGAGGAACTAACCCAGGGCCTCATGCATGCAAGGCAAGCAATGTACTACTGAGACACCTTCGCAGCCCCTGAACATAGATTTTTTTTATTGTTGTTGATTGGTTGTTTGGTTACCGTTACCATTTATTGTTTTTTTCTATTTTATTATTTTGTTAAGTAAGACACCTGAGTGAGTGGCAGACACAGAGTTCTGTTCAATTAGAAAGTGTCTTGGAATATGAGGTGATCCCCTGGGTCAATAATGTTTAGTACTTAAAAGACAAGGTTGATAATGCAATGTATTTTAGACAGAGTTATCTTCTGCTTCAAATAAAGTAGAATATCTAATCTTTAAAAGAAAACTTCATTGGTGTCCCTGTCTCACTTTTTTTAGGAAGGCAGTAAAGATAAAAGTCATTTTTAACTTCCACCCAAATAGGTAAGCATGGACTACTTTTGTCTAATATAAACTTATTTTTATAAGTCCCTGTATGTTTGGAATCAACATTAATTATTTTACTACCAACAATTTTAAAAATTAAAATTTATTGATCTTTCTTAAAAATGGAAAAACTAAGTCAGGTTTTGTACTTCATTGGGTTTGATTATTATTAGTCTGCATGAAATAAAAATACAAAATATTACATAGTGGGGCTATATATTAAAGATTACCAACATTTTCAACATTATTAACTTTTAATTGTTAACATGCATTAGTAGATTTTAGATGCTAAACGTATTTTATACATATATAAATTCTGTGGGTAATTTCTAATGAAAGCACTTCATATAATGAATGAGCAAGATGATGAATAAATAGTATTGATATGGTTTACATTCTATTCTACTAATAACAAAGATATTCATAAGTTCCATTCACCACTCACCATTGTAGCAGGTTTACTATCTAGATTAAATTAAACTGCATTGGTTGTTAAAAATATGTGAAAGTATATTAGACAACATGGTAGAAAATGCATTGACATGCGGTCTGACATAGTATCTTAATCATGCAATTTGTCAGCTATTGATTGTTGATACTCTTAGAAAAAAAACAGTTGCAACATGCCTTTTGCAGAAATGTCTAGGAGAGGTTTTGTCTTCATTTTATTCATCCTTAATACATAATACTAGACATATTGATAGGGCACTCTTGTATGTATGAGACCTGTAATTGTAAAGCCAAAAAGCCCTCCACACTTCAATCACTCACTGGTAATTTAAGGGAAATATAACAAGGAAATCCATGTTACTGTTGTGTTTAAATATGGCACAGTATCATATAGTCAACCTGCTCAACTGTGACAGACCTGACTGTCTTTTTTTGTTGTTGTTGTTGGTTGTGGGGCCTGAACTCTGGGCCTGAGCACTGTACCTCAGCTCTTCAGCTCAAGGCTAGTGCTCTACCACTTGACCTACAGCGCCACTTCCGATTTCCTGGTGGTTTATTGGAGATAAGAATTTCTTGGACTTTCCTGCCCAGGCTGGCTTTGATCCACGATCCTCAGATCTCAGCCTCCTGAGTAGCTAGGATTACAGGCGTGAGCCACTGGTGCCCAGCTTTGCCTGTCTTTCTTCGAATTACAACTTTATACCCATTGGCATTACTCACCCCATCACTTCTTGCCTTCCAGCCTCTGCTCACCTTGATCTTCTCATTTCTCCATCCTGCTACGGCATCTTTTAAATTTTTAATATTAAAATTTGATTAAAAGAATTTACTAATTACTGAATGCTTCATACATTTCAAGCGCTTTGTCTACAACTTTACAGTTGAGTTGTGTATTTGGATTTTCCTTTTCTCAACCAATGAAAATTATTAAGATACTCCAATTCTGGGTTCACTGTACTGGCCATCCCTCATTTATGTCTGCCCAGTCTTAGGACATCCATAGGTTTATCCCTTCTCTGCAATGAGTTACTATTTTTTGGTTCCCAAATTACTTATTGAATATTAAGGATGTTCTCTAACTCTTCCAAAAGCAATAACATATCAACTACCTCTTCCAGATATGACCATCATCCCTACTCACCCTCATTTGCAGACATCTACGTTCATGGACTTGCCCATAGATACACAGGTAAAATGCATTCAGTACAAAACTTTATGTAGGGACTGCCTTTGGAGTTTGAAAGATCACTTAGAGCTTGAGAAGCATTCCAATGAAGAAACGTATTAGTATTTATCCAATAAGTGTGAATAAATCAAATTATGTGAGTCAGTATGCTATACATTCCACATGCACTGTAAAAACTATCAAAAGAACATTGTAGGTTTAGAGAAAAGGGAAGAATGTAGTAACTAGAGATAATCAAGTGTTAAACACTAGCAAATGTGCAGAAAAATACAATGGAAAAGACTGAGTAGAGTGGATGAAAACAGTAGAAGCAGTTCATATGAACAAGTGAGTGAGTTAAGATAATCAGAGTCAGGTGTGGTTAATATACATTTCATATAATAATAAACATGAAACTCAAAGCCAAACAATCTAGGGAGAATTGTAAGCACTAAACATCTTATAATTCTGACTTTCCCTTCTAAAATCTAAAGAAAACTTATACCTGCTGATTTCATTGATATTCCCTGGAGATGGAAACATAATTTGAAATGAAATAATACTACTGGCAAAGCATATTGTGAATAACAGTTGTCATTGTGAATAACAGTTGTCTAATTATGAATTAAATAAAAACTCCACACAGCATTACAAATATTTAAACAAAATCAGAGCTAAAATACTAAATGCATCTGTCTCAACAGAGCTTAACTTGACATTCACAATAGTTCCTTGAGCATTAGAATAAACGTCGACTGGGTAATGTCAGAATGGAACCATGAAAGTGGTGAGAACAAACTACTGTATATATTTTGATAAAGAAAGGAATCACTGCTATATTGACAATAGATTTCTATTTTGAGATGTGGGAATTTCCAAAGTAAGCCAAAAATTAAAATATGTATCTTAAACAAGCATGCACTGCTTTTCTCAGAAGAACAAATATGACTAACATTTTTCATATGCATATTTACTAATGATGATTACACAATGATATTTTTGGAGCACCTACAAATTAATGTTTTCTATACTTATAGGGAAGTTGAAAAACATCCAGTGCTGAACAAAGTCTGGTGCTAAACTGAGGCAAGTGAAATGACTTGGCTATCTGATGGAACCATCCTCAAAGATGAAACTTGAAGAGATGAAAGCTGAAGGTAATGTTTCCACAGTGAAGCAATTTGTCCTACTGGGATTCTCTGACCTTCCAAATCTCCGAGGTTTCCTGTCTGGGGTGTTCTCCATAGCTTACACAATTATTCTAATTGGAAACAGCCTTATCATCATCATCACCAGGCTTGACCCGACACTGAAGAAACCCATGTATTTTTTTCTTGCCAATTTTTCTTTCCTGGAAATCTGTTATGTATCAGTTACTCTCCCTAGGATTCTGTTGAACATTTGGACACGGGATAGAGCCATGTCTCTGCTGCAGTGTGCCACCCAAATGTGCTTCTTCCTTATACTGGCAACCACTGAAAGTTTCCTCCTGGCGGTGATGTCCTATGACCGCTACGTGGCCATCTGCCACCCTCTCCACTATATACTAATCATGAACCCAAAGAAGTGCATTGAGCTGGCAGCTGGAGCCTGGCTCATTGGCATGCCTGTCCAGATAGGGCAAACGTGTCAGATATTCTCTCTGCATTTCTGTCGTTCTAATCAAATTGACCACTTCTTCTGTGACATACCTCCCATTATCAAACTGGCCTGTGAGGACACCTTTTCACATGAGCTGTCTGTCTTTGTGGTGTCTATGTTGTTTGCAGCGGTCCCTTTTTCCTTGATACTTGCTTCTTACAGTAAAATCATTTCCACCATTCTGAGGATGCCAACAGCCCAAGGATGGGGTAAGGCCTTCTCTACCTGCTCTTCCCACCTGCTGGTGGTCGTTTTATTTTATGGATCTGCAATCATTACCTACTTAAGGCCCAAATCCAGTCATTCTGTGGGAATTGCCAGATTGTTCTCTCTTTTCTACACCATCGTGACCCCCATGTTCAACCCACTGATATACAGCCTGAGGAACAAGGACATGATTGCTGCTCTGAGAAAATTATTCCTTAAAGCATAGTGTCAAGGATAACCTGGAATTGTTTATCACTGACATGTTCCAATTTTTCCCATTACCACTTTTTTTTTTGTCGGTTGTGGGGCTTGAACTCTGGGCCTGGGCGCTGTCCCTTAGCTCTTCAGCTCAAGGCGAGCACTCTACCACGTGAGCTACAGCGCCATTTCCAGTTTTCTGATGGTTTATTGGAGATAGGAGTCTCACAGTCTCTCCAGCCCAGGCTGGCTTTGAACCGTGATCCTCAGATCTCAGCCTCCTGAGTAGCTAGGATTACAGGCGTGAGCCACCAGCGCCCAGCTGTCCATTACCACTTTGAGATCAGAATTACCTCCAATTATGATGTATGGTAATTTATTTAAAGACTGGCCTGAGATTTACTCTGCATGGAAGCATCACATACAGATCCATCTAGCCATAATTATGCATGGCTAAGAAAATTACTCTCTCAGAAGTAAAATTTCTGCATGTTTCACATTTTGACTATTATGGGCAAAATTCAAAATTGTATGCCTTGCTTTTTCAATTTCATTTACACTTTATGACCTAAATACTTCTAAATACGTTTGTTGACATTGATCTATGACTCTATAATGTATTGAATAGTAGTCACTCATATGGGTTTTATAATGAATGTGTGCTGAACAAGTTATTGAATGAGTGAATTGATAACAACATTGGCAAAGACATTGATAACAACATTGAAGCAACATTCATTGCTACAGAGTTCTGCCTAAACCCAGTAACTATCTCATTGTTAAGTGCTGAATTCTATTACTTTGCTGTCTTCACCCCGTAGGAATTGTTCTATAATCATATTAACAAACAACTAAATTTGCAATTAGCTCTCTTCCTACGAAGACATCCCCAACACTCCTATCTGTGACTCAAATGTTTTCATAGTGCAGAATCATTCCAACTTTCTCATGAAATTTATTTGCTTTTATTAATTTTAACTCTTTCTTAACTGAAATCCAAAGAGCTACTCATCAAAATACTCATATTTACAAAAGAAATGTGAGGCAAATGCCGAGTGTGTTTTAAATTATTTTCAGACTCCCCAAATTCTTCACAGTTAGGTTGAATTACTGTAAGCTTTACCTCTTTCTAAAATGGTTAAATTATGAAGTCTTCAAACTGACATTATCAAGGAAAGTGACCATTGATCAAAAAAATCATAACTTTCTATCTGTCCATCCAATATTAGAATCTCAAATCAGCAATTTTAACTAACCATGACTCCCTTCTGTAGTCCTAGGTATTATTTTAAAATATTATTAAAGACAATGTTATCTATGATTGTGTTCACAGTTATATTTCTCATTAATCTGCTTAACTCGTGTGCCATTTAGCAAAATATATTTCATGATATATATATATATACACACACATACATACATAATTCATATCTATGCAGATCTATAAATCGTATTCATTATTATACATATATGTACTTATCATTTAGTGGTCTACCTATTTCAATAATTTGGCATATGTTATACAAAAGGCTAATTGACTTTTAATTTTAACAATAAAAATTATGACTATGGTGGAAAAGATTGTGTTATTGATTTGTTACTTGAAATTTAGTAAAAATTTGAATAGCAATTTTATGAGTACAGTGTTTTCCTCTCCCAAGGGTTCTGATAATTGAATGTAATGAGTGGTTAAATAGACTAACTCCTCTTCCCAAAACATTGACATTTAGGTGATTATATTTACAAATATACTATGGCATTGGACATATTAATTACCCAGATGAGACAATTTACTTGTTAATACATTGGATTTATTTACTGTTCCATATATTTGTGGCTTAGATCTGAATGGTCACACAAAGGCAATGAGCAGATGTTTGGTTCTCAGCATGTACTATTATAAAGAGTGTTAAGATGTGGTTGCTAATTAGAGAAAATATGACATAGTGGATTTGATCTTAATGGGAATGACTGAGAACTCTACCCACTTTCCCTAATTTTCTTTTTTTTGTTGTTGTTGTGGTTGCTACTTGTTTCTTGGGTAATCACTTTAGATTTTTCAAATACTCCTACTAAGATATTTTTCAGATTTATATGTAAAAGCCTCTATGAACATGCTCACAGTAGAATTCAAATCCAACGGGATATTCCAAGGGATCTAATACCACAGGAGCATAGTTGATGATTTATGAAAATGAGGAATCCACCAAATGAAGACCAAAAGAGAAAAATAATCATTTCAGTCCATCAGGACATACAACAGATAAATATTAGCTATCCATGCCCACATTCAAACACCAGAATTTATGAATAGGACAGCTCATATGACTTACAGAGTTTGCAGATGCACACTCACCTATTAGAATTTGAGATCAGGAGGATATTGGCACAGGTTCAGCTCAGGAACCAGATTTTATTTTATTTTTAGTTTTTGGATCTGGTCGTGGGGCCTGAACTCTGGGCCTGGGCACTGTCCCTCAGCTCTTCAGCTCAAGGCTAACACTCTACCACTTAAGCCACAACGCCATTTCCAGCTTTTTTTTCTGCTTATGTGGTGCTGAGGAATCGAACCCAGGGCCTCATACATGCAAGGCAAGCGCTCTACCACTGAGTCACCTTCCCAGCCCCACTATGAACCAGATTTTAAAACCTCATCTCCATCAATAAACCAAGCATGGTGGAGCCCAATTTTAGTTCCATCTATTCCAAGGATACTACCTACAAGAGGACAGCTAGCCCTGGGGTAAAAAGTGATAAAAAAAAATACCTGAAAAAATAGCTAAAACAAAAAGTGGACCAACACCTGCAGAGCAAGCAAAAGGTCCTGAGTTAAAACATCAATATAAAAAAGAACAATTAAGTTAGAGATAAGAAACTTATTCCAGAAGACCCCACACAATCACATGTGCCATTAAATGAGGCAGAATATGCGAGGAGGGTTGACTGGAGGCATTAAGGAAAAGCATGCAAAAGACATAGCTCCCTAGTTCCAGGATCATTTGTCATTTGTATGTGTCAAATGCACTTCTAGGGCTTGCCTGCATAATTTGTCTAGCATTACTATGGTGTTCCTGTGGGCAGGTTAGTATGACACTAATACTCAAGTTGGGAAACTGAGTAAAGCACCTTGCTTTTGCTGATGTGGGAGAGTCATATCCAGGCAGATAAAGGCCTGAATACAGCAATGCTTCTAAATCCTTCCTGACAAGGAGAGGGCCTGCATACTGGGTTGGCTGCAGACTAGAATATCAGCTTTGTGTTGTTCTTACTATTTGAACTGAAGCTTTAGCTTCTACAGCCTGTGGACCTTTAAAAAAAACTGCATCATCAATTCTTTTTAAAAAAATTAGGATTATTTTTTATTATCTTTAAGTAGTTGTACAAGACAGTTGTCATTCAATAAAGCAGTTTATTATTATATAGTGTGTCTTGATCAATGTCAACCCTTTCAACATTCTCATCTACCCCTATCATGCAAAGTATCCATAAAACCAAATTAGTTAATATAAATTTTGACAGTATATTTTCAAATCAAGACTAATCATATTTCTATGACTATACTGAGTTTTAAGGGAAAATTTCAAGGGCAGTAGCCTTGTTGATTATTATTTCAGGATCCCTGGGAAATGAGAAAGTTTAATAAATTCATATTTTTTGATGGACACTTGTTTTTTTGAAGGCTTCTAAAGCACAGAATTTATGTGTTATGTGTTGATGGATGGGATGCAAAAGCAAAAACAAATTTATGTGCTATGTGTTGGTAGATGGGCTGCAAAAACCAAAACCAAAACAACTGTCTCTAGGGTTTCAGGACAATGGGCATTTGAGGCTTGAATTAGGTGTGGTAAAGATACACTCGTTAAAAATCATATGGATTCTTGTTCTTCAGAGGGACTCATTAGTAGACAGGTAACATATTAAAATATTCATCTCATAAAAAGTCACCAGCAAACCCACTGGGTAAAATATTATAAGAGATATTAAATGATAAAACTTTATGAATAATTCCACAGAAGACTAGCATATACCTATAATTGACTACAGCTTTAATATCTGATTTTAAAATTTGATATGTAATTAAGATTGAACATTGCACATGATTTTGATCAGAGGCAGTCAAAATGTGAATATTTTTTAAAAAATTATTGACATGTGTAAAAGTTTTAAATTGCCACACATTTCTCAGTTAGTAAAGAAAAGCTATGTGTCAAAGCTGTGTGATTTTCAGTTGTGTTTAAATCATTGTCATCATCAAATCTTCTGTTTCTTTGCCCTTAATTATAGGAAAATATGTTTCTTAGGCAGCAAATGATAAAATAACGTTATCATCATCCCAAGATGCTAAAGACATAAAGTACGAATAATTTAATTGGTCAAGTGAAAAGTTTTGATTAGTGAAAGAGTGGCATGTTTTGAGTGGGATCTGGGTGGCAATATAGTGAAAGTGAATGAATTGTCTGCAGTACAGCACTGAACTCAAATTGCAACCTGGAGAGACACAGTTTATAAACAAAAGCAGTCTCCACTGAAGTCTCTATCCCAGCCACACAAAGTCTTCTGTGGGAAAGAAGATAGGAAAATATGGGAGCTCTCTCTCACAAAGTTGCCTGTTATTTTGACCAAGTAGTTAAAGTATGTACCTAATGCAAGAAAATCAAACAGAGGGTCTTTGAGAATTATAGTTATTTTCTTCTAACAGAAGAGGCGAATGATACAGACAGCAATCATCCATTATGGAAAGAAACAATGGGAAAATGTAGAAAGAGAGGTTGTTAGAATATGAGACAGAGGTGGTGAAGTGAAAGTTAAATCTTGCCCTGAAATACATATTCAAATTTCCAGTATAAAATAATTGAGATCAACCTATGTAACAGGACAGAACAAGAGAGAAAGATGGTAGCTCTCAGACGCTGGCTTATGTTTGCATAGGGTGTTTAATTCTCCATAGAACCGGGGACTATGCATGGTAAACTAGTTTTTCTAATCATAAATAAGAAGACAAAGAAGGCAAAGAATATTCTTTGAAAT